AAATATGATCATATAGTTCAATTGTATTTGGTATAAAATTTTGCCATATGAACAGTACCCAAATGTTAAAATTTCCAGATTACAAATAGAAAACCAATACCATTTACATATATATATGCGTTTCAAAACTCGATCAGAGTGTATCCAATACAAATCCTTTTAATTATTACATGCCAACTAAATATTTTCTAACAAAATACATGTAATCGATCTACATTTCTGATCTGATCTTGGTAAGGAGAACTGACATGTCTTGTTCCTCTTTATTTCTCTTTTCGCTTTCCATACCTACGTGTGAAACAATCACACGCTAAGTCGATGACTTAGTGAGGCATATAAAACATAATATAACCATATATCATTTCTTATAAATAAAGGCATACATCTGCGAATACTATCATTAATCCCTTCACTTACCATATAGTCATCATGTAATTTCTATAACATATACTCACATGTATATCCTTGCAATTTAACATCCTTACATAAATCCTGTGATCTATTACATATAACAAATCGCATATACATATCATATTCAATATACTTATTAAATCTCTTTATTAGCCCATGTACACTGTTGAGAGCTTAAGGTATGTGAGTACATTGAGGTTGTGCACTATTATACTGTCACTACAGCTCATATAAATGTCCCGAAGGACCAGTCCATAGATTCCGAAGAACCTAGGTAATCAGTCCATATGTCCCGAAGAACATAGGTAAACAGTCCATATGTCCCGAAGATCATAGGTAAACAGTCCATATGTCCCTAAGAACATAGGTAAATAATCCATATGTCCCGAAGAACATAGGTAAACCCTCGACCCTTGGCATGCCAACTATACCCTAGCTCTCATATCACATAATATGGGCATTGTAATTTATAACAGCTCACATCACTTATTCATATCATTTTTTCTTTCTGTCACGTACCATATGTACGTGTAATCATTGATCTTATAATCACATATTTCATATAGTCACTTGGCTTATTTCATTTCGCATTGGGCATGTCTCATAGCATATATCACACATGCATATAATCATGTAACATATATAATAACCTATATCCATTTCATGTATCCATGCACATATCAGAATCATAAATCAAATAACATTTTAGGAGTCACTTCTTACCATAATAACTCCAATACTGGCTCATCGCAAGCCAATGTTCGTTCAATAACATAAGTACAATTAAAATTGCACTCACCTTAGCCTTGCTTTGATTCGATTATAATCCTTTGATTATTCCGGAACTTGTTTAGGCTCAATATCTATATAAATATATCATTTCAAAACAACTATCAGAAGCTTAAACTTTAAACTTGATGTTAATAACTTAAACCGGTTTAATGAATCAAATTCCATTTTTCATTTAGGGGGAATCGATACCCCCCCAGGGGGAATCTGTTCCCAAGGAATTGATACCCCCCAGGGGGAATCTGTTCCCCCTGCACATACTGGAATTTTCGTCCAAGAGGGGGAATCGATTCACTTCATAGGGTATCGGTTCCCTCTACCCAGAAATTGTATTTTAACCCCGAAAATCATCAATTCTTCACTTAATTCTTCTATTTTAAACCCCTATCATGTCATTAAACTCAACTACCATTACTTAAATAACTTATATCCATGAAAATCATCTATAACTTCAAAATCCTCCTTCATATGTAATTCAAGAATCATACTCAATTTTCAATATGTTCTAAATACAATTCTAACACTTCTATCTTCTTATTCTCATAGATGACAAGTCAAATTCAACTTAAAATTCAACTTATCAACTCTATTCCATGATTTCATATAAAAACTCATTTTCTTAAATCTCTTATAACTTCTTCATCTTTTGATTTTAAGATAACTTAAGCTTTCCTTAAGCTTAGTTATCATCTAAGGATCAAAACTCATGCTTAAAATCAACAAACAATCAAGAAATTAGAGAACTCACCTTTGCTTTGAGTTGTCACGTGGAGAATAGAAGAAGATGAAGAAGAGAATTGCTTTGAAGCTTATCTCTTCAATCATTCTCCACATGGGTATTATAATACCCATTATTATTTAATTATTTTCCTTGTTCAATTACTCATTTGCCCTTTGACTCCTTTAATATTTACTAACAAATTTCAGGAAATATCTCCACATAAATTATTAAACTATTCAATTATTCTACTTTAATCAATATTCTGAAATTTTACAATTTAGTCATTAACCCGTAGTTTGGGATGTTACACTATATCGGTTCTTGTAAGGGAAATGTCTTGTTTTGTTACTTTGTCAAAATCTGTAACTTTGAATCATTTACATATTTTTTTAATTCAGTTGATATTCAAAGAATTGCAAGTTGTAAATTTGATTCAATGATCAGCGTAAATTCATTGAAATATCCTGATAAAAAGAAATATGTCAAAGTTCAAAAGAAATATGAGAAAGTTCAAAAAAACAAGTCCAAACAGGATGCTGCAAAACAGAAGAAAGCCTCATTAGGATGCCCCACTATTTACAGAATGTCGAGGATTAGGGCCTTCATCTGTACTTGCTCCCCATTTTTCAACTGTTTCACTTGTCGGAACTCATTTTGATGTACTCTCAGCTGCAAATTTCTACTTCGGGAATGTCCTGGCTTTCATCGTAAAATTCCCGCTCTTTTCTATTTGAACGATATGTGGATGAGGTGTGCCCAACTCTTGTTAGTTAATGTGAAAAAGAAATGAAAATAACAAAAATGAAAAATATGTTTAAATGCATAATGCATGCAATGTTTGAGGCACTGATCCAAAAAATGTGCATGTTATTATAAATAATCCTTATTGGGGACAAAAATGTTACGTCTTAAGAGACAAAAAACATTTTAATGGTATAGATCCCAAACAACCTCTGACAGGTTGATTCGTCTTTCGTCTTTTTTCTGTCACCGGTTGAATACCCTGTCGAATCGTTCCGGCTACTTTGGCTAAACTGTGCAAGTGACGAGCTGCTTGCCCCAAAAAGTCTCGAATGATTGCATCTCCGGCTTTCACTCTCTGTTGAGCTTGTTCCTAACGAAAGCGCCATCGAAGCCCTCTATCGATAGAAACTATCTAAAGTTTATCTGCTTGTTTCTTGAATTCGTCAGCAATGGCATCCAGCTCAGCTAGGGTTTCACCATCTTGTTCTCGTAGTCTTCGAAAGGACTCTCCAGGTCATTAACCTTTTCCTCGTCTTGCCCCTGCAACTTTCGCCATCCCGTTCTGGAAAAGTTGACTTTTGACTTGCTTGGTGGAAATCCCGATCCATTATGAGTATTCTCTGACCATAGCTGGACTTATGAGTTTTTCATCTTTTGTATTATAACCCCCTTTGTCCATTAATGCAAATTATTTACATTTAATGAACACATTTTTGGTGGATCAACACCTCTTTTGAATGATGCAAATGATGAAAATTAAAATGAAAGAAGGAAAAAATGAAAAGAGTTGGTGAGGTAAATCAAAACAATAATGAAAATAAAAAGTTCTATCCCGCATGATATCTACCCCACATGCTTATTATTCCTACCCGGACATGATCTTTATCCCACATGCTAATTTCAAACAAATCATAACCGCATATTTGTCTAGTTTGCATGCTTTGAACAAAAAAATAATTCATGCATCCTAGGTTTTGAAATGAGGTTTTGGGGTGGGCTCTAATTTCTTGTACTCTCTCAGTTTAGGTTCTAAAAGGTACCCAAGTTCTCCTTGCTGGTCCATTGAGCTTTCCAGACTCTTAGTCCTAAGCCCATTACAAGCTTATGTGGACTAAGTTAAACTCGAGAGGATACATTCCCTTATGTCTGTGCGGTGAATAAATTCACACGAAGACATAAGGTATATGAATCCCGAAGGTTACTTGCTAGGCCTGGGCGGAGAATAATTTCTCACGAAGGCGCCGACCACCGGTCATCGACGGCAAAACACAAAAGATAACCTTTTCCCGAAAGCTTTCGATCCCCTGGTTCCAAAAATAAATTTTGTTTTTGCAAAGTGGCCTCAGGGGAGGCTAGATCTGGGTTTTAAAGCCCCGAACCTTCCCCTAGAGTTCATCGACCGAACCTCCTTGGAGGTGTTTTTTGGGTTTATTGGGCCACTTGTTTCTATTGGGCTTTGGGGTTGTTTATTTGTAAATAGGCTATATGTTTGGGCCTGTCATAATGTAATGAAACCAAAAAAAATTATGATATGTTTATAATATGTAATGTAATACCCATACACCGTACATTATAAATAATTAAAATGTAAATTAACATGCAAACACCACTTGAACGAAAATGAGTGTCTACATCGATAATAAAGGAAGTATTATTGTTCATTGAGATCTTGGTTCAAACGTTAAGTGTGTCTAAGGTACAAACGTTCAAGGTCAAATAAAAAAATATTTTTAAACAAACGTACTTACCTCGTATTAATAAAAATAATTATTTGAAAGTTAGTTTAAAATAAATAAATTTTATTAATTGAAACATGAACCACGTTGTAAACCAGATTCATTAAATAAAATCCAAGTATTTCCGGACAATGTAAACGTTGAAAATCGTAACAGTTATCGTAAACGAAATATAATTTTCAAAATTCACAACATTTCTAAATTTCGAGCGTTATATGGTCGTAGGAATATGGCGCTAGTAGCGAGTACAGTGAGCCGAGCAGCGAATACGGTTGGAGCAATGAAGGCCAGACCGACCAGGGAATGGAGACGAAGAAGAAGAGCCAAAATTATGGTGGAAACTCAACCCCTCCACCATTGTTTCTTATTTCTTACAGTCATGAGAGTCAAATTGATTGCAAAAAATGACAAGTTTTTCATGAGAAATAAATAATTTTTTTTTAAAGAGAAATGGATAATCGGCCTCATGGAGAAGATTAGGCATTTTCAACACAATATTTCAGACATATGCTTGTCATAAAACATGTTAAATGGTTTTCAATACAACCTAATTAGCATAAGCAATTTCATGTATATAAAAAATATTTGAAAAAAAGAAGGGACTCGGAGTATGGGTGGTGATATAGCAGGATAGTCGGCAAGGGCTATTAAAAACAGCCGATTTACGACGAACGAGACCTTTTACTGATGAGATCGTCACCGTCCCTTCTCACATAGATTTTCTTTTTGCAAAACAAAACGAAGAGCTAATTTCACAAGGCACAGACTAGAACTTGAACCCTGGAATAACGAAGGAGAAGGGGGGAGAGCAGGTCAAGCCTCCAAACCACAGTCGATATAGCTTAGCCTACGATGCTCGTGAAACCCCTACTTTATATAAGGAATTGGACGCAGATTAGGATTTTGCGGATATAACGGGCCAGGACCCTGGAATGAATCTACGAAGTAAATGGCTCCGCCGTACACCTTGTAACTTTGAATAGGTCTAAATATATGTAATCCTTATATTTGAATAAAATATTAATCTATTTTAAAAAAAATTAAAATTACGAGTCCTTAACATTTAAGTTTTTTAAATACAGAAACAGTCCAAAGTTTTCCCAAAATAATGGGATTGACCGAGTCAAAATTTTATTCCACTTAAATTCGATCGAGTATAATTTTTCTCTCTCTATCAAAAATAGAAAAGCTCCACCGTATCAAGATTCGACCTAATTTTTGAGGTAAAAACTTAGACCCAATCCAACCTTACCTGATACCCATATACATTATCATTTTATGAGATGAAATTAAAATTAATTGAAAAACTTAAATACAGAAACATTATAACAATTGTCTCTAAATTTATCAGGTAAAATAATTGAAATACATGATGACGACTTCTTAATCCCTCTTTTAGAGTTAAACCTTCATCGTATAAGTTAATTATTGAGATTAAAATTTTATATGTTTACATTATTCCCCTTTTATCATTTTCAACTTTCAATCGTAACCATTAATTTACGTTTCATACTAGCAAAAATTAATGTGCCGTGATTCAACCAAAATAGGGTCCATGCCCCAAAACAGTGATTGCCAGATTTCGAGACAACCCTTGGGGTGGGGCTAATTGAGTTAGCAATTGCAGGCCATATAAACTATTGAGACCAATCTACCCTCGAAAGCAAGCAGTTTTACATTCTATGCAAACTCAAAGTTACAGATATACACCAAAACCAGACACTACCATCAAATTTTCATAATCTAATTCTGAATCCTGTGATACTAACACATCGATTGCGTAGCCGATCAGGTGATCGAAACCCGGAGTTGGAGAAAATGCAATAAATAATGAACAACAAAAGCTCTACAACTGTCACCTTATATCTCAGCTCCCTCCAGTTCTACCTCTTTCCAAATGAGTATCCAGTGTTGACAGGATCCGAGGCATGGACATTCCCCCAGATATAACAATTTCTGCTATGGAAGAACAGTACGACATAAGTTTAAAACTTGAAACAATAGACATTATGGACATAACTTTTAGATCTATTCTATTTTGTTCATTATATAAATATACACCATATGTATTGGCTTTAATAAAGATAATCTAGAAGGAACTTCATTCTATAGCTCGGTTGTAACCGCGCAGAGCCAAGCTCAAGCTCAATTTGAAACCCACTGTTCAAAACTTGACTCAAGCACGAACGGATATTCTCATCTAAGTTCGAGCTCAGCTCAAATAATATCAAACTATCCAAAGCTCGGCTCGATTAAGCTTGTTTACACAATTTATAAACTCAAATATGAGCTTGAGCTCATTCCCTATTCATTCTTTTAGGTAAAGTAGTAAGTTCATATAAAAAATCAAAATATTGAAAAGTTATAAATAAAAAGCTCGATTTGGCTTGGGAGATGCTCGAATCTGAGTAATAAATACTTGAGCTCAGCTAAATAGAGCATTTTTTTAGTCGAATTCAAATAGCTTGGGAGCACAGGTGTGTCATTTAGACCCCTAGCTAGCTAAGTGTCTATATAATAACACCTCCCTGCATCCCCATCCAACCCAGCCCCAACTTTTTCCCCGAATTTGCAAATAACAACACAGAACAGGAGGAGTTGAATGCCTCACCAATTCCTTCACGGACTGATAGGTCAAGTCTGAAGACATCCTTGGTATTGACAAGGAATATATCACCAATGTAAAGATGATTTGTGGGAATAAAAACGCAGCATAGCTCTTCTTCACCATAGTAGCTCTGCATTTGAAAACAAAATAAATAAAACATCCTTATTTTACATTGCATGGTTTGTCTTAGATCCTACTTTCCACCAAATATTTAAAAATGATTTCAACCTCATTTATATGTTAAATGTTGAATCGTTGATAGTACAGCAAAGTAGATGATGAGATGTCAAATACTGGGCACAAGCACTCTTTCCGAGCAAGAGCCCCATAGAAACGAGAACTCAACTACTCAGAAACAGGCAGCCTCCAGAGTTTTATGGAAAGAAAAAGTTATGAAGACATGCATGCCAATAGGATCATATGAAGCATGAACATTATGAGTCAGGGAAATAACAAAAACAGGAAATGCACACCAAAATGATAATTTAGGAAGAAAAACTTTATTTGCCTACCTGCAAAGCAACAGATGAAGTGATGAATCCAAATGCGTATTCGCCGATACGTGGATGCCTTATGATGGCTACTTCCTTGAAGGCGTGTGAGTTCTGATCTGAAATAAAGTAAAGATGTAAACAAAAAAAAATGATTAACCATATAGATTGTCACAACCTGAACCAATTTTAATAATATGACCAAGCAAACTAATTTACTTCATGAGGAAGACAACCAGCAAAGTGGCGTACCTGGTGATATAGCAGAACTAATTTGCTTGGAAGCATTGTAGATGTGACGAACAAATGGCATCCGTTTGATAAACCACTCACCAAGGCCCAGGACGGAAGCTCCCAACCAAGATGACATGAATACCCCAACCACAAAGATGAATGTAATAGAAGTTACAAATCCAAGACCTATCCGGGAAGCAAAATGAGGTCAATACATTGAATAAACCTGTTAACCAGATGGTACATACTCTTAAAGAAGAGATTCTTGATAAAAATGACAAAGATAAAATATATACGTGGAAAGCATAAATAATTTGCAAAGCTCACTGCCTGTAAACCAATTTAGCTTTCTTGTAGAACATAGCATGTGAAAGATACATAAAACTAAAATCTAACTAAAGTTTTGCCTATGTTAAAAGGTACTGAACATATATATGTATTTATTTCCATGATATTGAATTCTGATTCTGTGGAAATTTCATATGAAGAATGCTAATAATTATTAAGTGGGCTAAGGCATAAGTTTTGGAAAAGTTAAAGAACCACAAATTAAGATTCCTCTAGTCTCAAAGAATATATCACGCATGCACTCGTAATTCTCATTCTCATTCATAGCCTTGTGAAAAGAAAACATATTTACAAACTCCAAGATCCAATTAAAGGGAGAGTTATTAGATTCTATCTGAATGTGATGCTCACCAAATATATTAATTCCAAGTTGAGCATAAATTGGAGAGAAAAAGCCATCCACAAAGTGAATAAACCACCACCATGTTATGTAAAATGTGATTGCTATAGGAAACAGAATGACACTGCAAAATAAATATATGATTCAGCATCATAAATGGCTACAGAAATTCTATTAGATTAAATTCCATAAAAATATCAAAACTAGAAACCAAAGCTACTAAGTTTTTGAGTTCATCAAATAGAAGTATGTAGAATTTCATGGTAGCAAGAACAAACATTTTGTAAGATGATAAAGAAGCAGAGGAATTTCAAGACATTCATTTTATGAGAAGCTTATGGAAACAAAAAAAAATGGAAACAAAAAAATAATTAAAAGAACATGTCAGGCAGTTCACATGATTAATTGTGTTACATCCATTTCAATTCTCATACCAAGATTTCAACATAACTCTCCCAATAAAGCATTGTGAATGAAGATATACTTGCTATAATGAGTAATGTCTGAATAATTCCAAGGGACAGTGAATCCATCCCAGCTATTCTAGTGAAATGCTTGGTTTCCACCAAGCACATTTTTTTCGAAATAGCTGATAATTGTGAAATATTCAAGGTATTTAGATTTATCTCTCGTTCCAAGAATTAATAGTTTCCAAAGTTCTAAAATTTAATGTAATTATACATAAAAGGTAAAACCTAAAAAAAACAATTTAGGCTCTATACATTAGGGAAAGCATTTTCACTCATGATCAAGGATATATGAGAAGAGACTGAACTGGAGGAATGTCTGTATCACTTTTTTTCTGTAGGAAGATAATAATAGCATTCTCCAAATCATTATCATACAGAAGAAAATTGTAGGAACATCCATCATGAGTTCATAAAGCTAAAGAAAGTAGAAGAAATAATGCCACATACCATCCTGTCATGAACTTCTTCGAAGCCCAGCTCTGGACAATTTTGTAAAAGGTCTGCATAAAACAAATCTTGTCAACATTTCTTTTGAAAGATTTCATCATTAACCCACCCATCAACCAGAAAAAAGACAAATGTCATATGTCATAACATTGGGATGACTTCAAATTCAAGCTTATAGTTCTATACCCCAAATTTGTTCGAACATTAACATTCTTTACATATCATTTTAAGCTTGAGAATTAAATCATAGATGCATAGAAAGCTCTAAAACGAAAACACAACCCATTATTATTAAACATGTAGCATGAACCCTATAAAGTCGGTCCAGTTATATCCCAAATGGTCTCATCTTCTAATCATAACTTTCTCACAAAACAAAAAACAATTTCCTCTTCTTTAATAGCTCCAGTAAATTATGCAAGATTCTACGTCCCAATACCAAGTCAAACACAATTAAAAACAGTTCAATTTCCAGACCTCTTCTAATATCAATAACTTCAAACTTAAAAATGAATTTAAAACAGCTGATTTCTCTCTATTAACAACCAATTCGGTCACATAAATTACCATAACGCTCTATTAAATGACTATTAAATTTATAAACTTCGAATCCAATCTTAGTTTACAAATAGCAACCAGAAAAAAAATGCAAACCAAGTCAAACCTAATTCAAACACAGTCGTAAATCCAATTCAATAACCAAAAATCTGTTTATAAAAATAAGTAAAAAAATGAAATTAGATAAAGGATACCTCACGGCCGGCGAGATGCGAAGAAGAGGAAGACGATGAAGAAGAATCTTTGGAGGAATCATCGCGTATGGAGTCAGCAACCGTAAGTAGAAGTTCTCGATCTCTACTCCCCATCTGGACCGTCGATTTTGCATCTGCCATCACCAAAGAGCGCGCTACCAATATCCTTACCAAGAATCTCAAAAAACCATATCTCGCTTCAGGCCCTTTCTCTAAACTCAGTGTTTACCAGTCAAGAAGAAGAAATACAGAAGAAATTTAAAAATAACAGAAATTTCAATTCTCCCAATCTGAGATGAGAAGCGACTCCTTTGAATTTGCTTCGTCAGTTCGGCGTTTCGCTGACTTTTTTTAATTATATATAAAATATTATGGGTCGGGTCGGGTAGACGCGTTGGATTGCCGATTTTATAACGTTTTCAGATATAAGTTAAATTCTATCATTACTCTATGTATTATTATAAAATATGAATTCAGTCCATTTTAATTTTTATATTTTCAAATTTTAACCATGAATTAAATGGTACACGGTTGATAAAACAAAACTAAAAAGACTTAAATAATTAAATTTGATAATAATCTACAAGTAATATTTAACTTATTTAACAATCAATGTTTGAACTAGTGATGGATTTTGATGACATATATTAAAGGGTTTATTCAAATTATTTTGAGGCTTAATCTAACTTTTCAAAAAATGAGAGGTTTAATGACACTTTTTAACAATTTTGAGGGGTTTAATTAAAAACATTCAAAAAAAATTTAAGGTCTTTTAAAATTTTGAGAGATCAAATTAAAATTATTAATATATTTGAGATGTATTGTGGACACTAATTTTTGACCGACCATATATATATATATATATATATTACTTTCATTATTATGGTATAATATATATATATATGTTATATTTATTCTATGTTTTCATTTATTTACAAGCCCAATAGCATAACACAAATTACAACCCAAGTACAAGCAAACCCAACAAGCAACCCAACAGACCCAGTGGAGCAGCCCGAACCAAGTTGACACCCGTGACCCGAAACCCGACTGGAGACCGAATCGGTTTGGATCTAAACCAATTAGGGTTTTGAAACCCTAACCCTATCTTCCAATGTTGCATGCCTCTTACCCAACAGTCGTCACGTTTCTTGGTCAACCCCGAATCATTCCACGAAAAGGGGAGCATCACCAACAAACACAACAACCATGTTAGATCGAAGCGTTTGAGTCTAAGTAGGACTCTAACTCAAACAAAAAATAGCATGTTTCCTATTATAAATAAGGCATGTAAATTGATTCGAAAGGGAGGATTTTTTACAAATAAATTGATTCGAAAGGGAGGATTTTTTACAAAAGAAATACGAAAATACCAGAAAAATACGAGTGAAATACCAAAGTGTTCGAAGCATTTGTAACATTTTCGAAGTGAAATAAAGGTAAAGTTCATACTTTTTTTCGGTTTGAAGGCTTGCATGTGTGTTTCTTCTCTTCGTATGGGTCGAAAATCAAGGGCCGATGAACTTGGGGAGTTTTTTAGGATCTTCGATCCTAGATCTAGCTCCCTCGAGGCCTATTTGAAAACTATTGCATATTTGAGTTGGGAGAGGGAAAGGCTTTCGAAAAAAAATAAAGTTTCGCCGCCAATGAACGTTGGCCGGCGAGGCGACCAATGGTCGGAATCTGGGTTCACCTAAAACCCACGGTCGTGTCTTCCTTGAGGGAAGAACACTTGAGAGAAATCTTGAATGGGGGGATTTTTGTTGGCTGCAAATGAGAAATGAGGTATTTTTTTTTGCCAAAGTGGGCTTTATACTCGACCCGTGGCCGACCCGCGACCCGACCCATCCACCCTCTGACCCGCGTGTTTTTAAATAAAGGGGAAAATTACAATTTGGTCTCCCCGTTTTTTTAAAGGTTTAATTTGGCCCCTAAATTCGATTTAAACTTTAATTTTCTTTCAAATTTTACGTCTTATTTTCTTTTCTTTTTTTTTAATTTAGTCTTTTTATTATTATATATATATATATATATATATTTATTTCTTTTACCTTTTTTTTATTATAATATCATTTTTTTTTTTTTTTGTACTATTTTTATTTTTTTGTTTTTATATTACTTGTTTTTCTTGTGTTTTATTTATATATTTTATTTTATTTGTTTTTTGTCTTTTTTACATAACATTTTATGTATAGATTATTTATTTATTTTTTTATCATTATTCTTTTTATTTAAATACCGCTATATATATTTAGTTTTTTTATTTCTATTATTTTTTTTATTTTTTACTATTTTTTTATTTTTTATTTTTATCTTTTTCTTTACTTATTAAATACTATATTATATATATCTTACCTACCTAGGCCCCCCTCTTTTTGTCTCCTATCTTTGACAAATTTTTTTCCTTCTTTTACTTTCTTTCGATGAAAGGATGTAGTAGCATATAAGTTAGGTTTTGTTTTCTTTTTTATTCTATTTTTTATTTCTTTAATAGTTTTTTTTTTAATTTTTAATTTTTAATTTTTCCTCTTTTTTGTGTTCTTTGATTTATTTTTATTTATTATTTTTTCTTTTACTTATTCTTTTTTATTTTTTTTTTTTCAATTTTTATTTAATTTTTCTGGTTATTTTTATATTATTATATTATTTTATTTTATTTTTTCTTTTGATTATTATTTTTATTATATTTTGTCTATATTTTATTATATTATTATTTTTCTATCTAACATTTTCGACCTTTTTTTAGAAGAATTCCAACCAATCAAAAGTAAGTAATTGGAATCAAGTTTTTAAATTTTAATTTATAATTTTTTTCGCAATCAAGACATCCGATAAATTAATTGGTACCGAAATAGCAGTTCAAGTGTGCTAATCCTTCCTTGATTGTAACCGACTCCCGATGTAACAACCTCAATACCGGGATAGTGACTAAATTATAAAACTTCATAATTTGGTGACTAAAGCATAATAAATGAATAGTATTGTAATTGGTATAGGGTTAAATTGCAAGGAATAAGGAATAGAAGGTTAAAATGGTCATTTGTATGGGAAATAATTAAAGAATAGATATTTATATATTAACTCCACGTGGAAGAGAAGAAAGAAAAACAAGGTTCCAGAGTTCTCTTCTTCTCTTCTTTCGCAATACGTGAAGAAGGCAAAACAAAGGTGAGATTTCTTAAAAGCTAATGGTTTGCTGAAATTTAAGTCTGGTTTTGATCCTTAGATGCTAATTAAGCTTATGGAAAACTTAATTTGTTTTAAAGTAACCAGATGAAGAAGTTATAAGAGATTAAAGAAAATGGGTTTTTAAATGAATTTATGGAAAAGAGTTGATAAGTTGAATTTGAAGATAAATTTGACTTGACACCATGCTAATTAAGGAATATGAAGTGTTAGAATTGTATTTAGAACATATTAAAATTTGAGTATGATTATTGAATTACATATGAGGGATAGGATTTTGAGGTTAAAGATGATTTTCATGGATATAAGTTGGTTTAAGTAATGATGGTGAGTTAATGCATGATAGGGGTTTAATAAAGAATTAAGTGAAGAATTGATGATTTTCGGGCTTAAAATACAAATTATGGGTTGTGTGTGCATCGATGCACTATCAAATAATTGAACATCGAATGCAATTAGTGCATCGATGCATAAGGAGTGCATCGATGCACCTACTTAAAATACAAACTTCGAATGGGATTTATGCACCGATGCATAGATAGTGCATCGATGCACCCGTTAAAGGATACATCGATACATGGTGTAGTACATCGATGCATACCTTCATTAAAAGATAAAAATATCTTTCTTTTTAGCCTAAGGAGTGATAGTTTAGAATATATCAATTAGTATACTGGTATGTATCAATGTATTACTATGTAGATTTAGAACGTAATCTCATTCCGAAACAATCAAGAGATTAGAATTGAGTCAAAGCAAGGCTAAGGTGAGTGCTCATACTGGATAGAATTGTATGGAGATAAGACTTGCGATAAGTCTATCTCTTATAGTTGAATTCCTGATTTCATTCAGTACATGCATCCACATATATATTGGATACAGTGATTTCATGTATAGTTCATTTATTACTTTATATTATATGAAAGAATGAAATTGTCAGGATCAATCAAGTATGTGAAATAATGAAAGTGATCACATGTGTGTATATGAAGTGAAATACATGTTTATATGAAAGTGATGAGAAGATATGAAATGAGAAATGTATTCATATTTAAGCCCATGTGAGTTAATATGAGAGCTGTAGGTATAATTGGCATGCCAAGAGTCGAGAGTTCTACGTGGTCCTTCGGGACATATGTAATTCTGTGGAACATATATGTGGTACTTTGGTACACTTATTTGGTCCATTGTATTATGTATATGGTTCTTAAGGAGTGGTCCTTCGGGTCATATACAGTGGTCCTTCGGGACATAGTGGTTCTACGAACAATCAGTGGTCCTTCGGGATAAATATTCAGTGCCCCTTGAGGGAATTATACGAGTTGTAGTGACAGTATAGTGCACAACCTCTGTACTCACATACCTTTGTTCTCAATAATGTACATGGGCAATCCAAAGATAAATTAAAGCGAAATCAGAATAAAAATATATGTCTTATATGTGCATACTATCATCATATATGTTATAGTATAGTAAATATATGCAAGTTAAGATGTCATGATCAATGGTAAGGATGCATGTTCATAAATTCATTGTTATACATGCGTATACATATATTTATGTTATGCCTCACTAAGTCTATGACTTAGTGTGTAAGTGATTTACACGTAGGTACCAAGAATCGAGCAGACACTAAGTCTATGACTTAGTGTGTAAGTGATTTACACGTAGGTACCAAGAATCGAGCAGAACTGAAATAGGAGTGTCAATAATAGCAGCACTGCCAGAAGATCAGATCAGAAGTAACTGATAAAGTATGTATTTTGTCGTGTATAGTATGTTGACACGTAAGTAAAGTGTCAGTTATGAATGCTCTGATCAATTTTGGTTGTTTTGGTCATGTCATGTAAGTAAACTGCTTTTCAAGAAGTGGTAAACCGTGCTAAAGCTCTGGAAAGAGATCAAAATGAGAGATTCGGGGATCTTGAGTTTAGACTTTGAAAAGATCGGGCACATCATTGAGTGTTGCAACCGTCAAAAAGGGGCAGAGATGTGAGTCTTCCCAAACGAGATAGAGTCAGTTGCATCTTCTGTAAGGGGATCAAATCAGATGAGGGGTCGAAAAACACAGTCAGTGGGATCTGGAGCTGGAGATCTAACCCGAGCCAAGCAAACAATGTCCACATTGTGGAGAAAATCACTCGGGATATGCAGGATGATT